CCACTTCTACAAGAAACTCCGGTGGGTCCGTTGAAATATCGTAGTGATCCGAAATGATCATTTTTTTTCTTCTTCTCTCAGTCTCTTTAACCCCGTCATTCCACTTTCCCAGCCCGTAACGCCATTGCTCTTATTTAGCAAGCTCTCTCTCTCACACACACACACACACGCCCATACGTTTACATTACACATGCTAGTATACCACTACTGTGTTGGTTATAGAGGGTTTTTCTTGCCGTGAGTTGCAAGGGGCGTAGTTACGATTTTCTTGCGGCTTATCTAACCTATCCTACTTGCCTCACCCGCCAGACTTTCTTACCACCTATCTTCTATACATRGACTGCAATTTACTTACATGTCACATTGCACCTATCGTGTATATATATTATTATTATGATTATAAGAAGCGATGTGCTATGCGTGTGTGTCGGTTTGTGTGCGTTCGTGAAGACGTCGTAACTTTGTTTGTGTGTGTGTGTGTGTGTGTGTTTGGTGTTCGTGTGAGGGTGTAAGTACGGACGATCGGTGATAGAGGGAGGGGGTAAGGGTTTTGACTACAAGAAAAAAAAAGTTCCACCGAAGGCTTTCTTCGACTTAACGATAATGAAGCGCACCGGAATAAAGTGTGTATAGTGTTATATATAATAAGTACTATACACAATATCCACCCCTCCCCGCCAYGCCACGGCTACCCACTTTGAATATCTATAAGTTATGATTATCGCCACTCGTGGGCTTTACAACTTCGATGCATGCAAATGCCAAATTATCAACGTCGTTGACGTACCTACCCATACCCGACTTACGTGCGACGACGGMGTAAGTATAAAATATATTATATTATATTATTTTACAACGCCAAAGCCAGCGCGTTTGTTTTACGACAAGTTATTCTTTCCGAAACTCACTTTTCAGTTACACTGCACCGCCTTGGCGGCTCACTTAAATTTTACATCTTCAAGRGACGATTTAATCTGTTGGAGTACGGCGGTGAAGTGACAGAGTTTTTTAAGTTTATTTTCTGTGACCAAACTTTCGAATAAAGTCACCGCCTCCGACARTGTTTGGYGTAAATATTTGTGGCTTTTGATGTTGGTTYCATCATATTGTATAATGTTATAGCTGCACAAAAGTTTGTTTTAATTATTCTTTTGACGATATTTTAAAATCGAAATTCATTCTTATTTCTTTTTGCTATTCATAATATAATGGTATCGTCTAATTACACAGGTACTATATTAAATTTACAGTATTCTGATTTTTTTTCAAATTACATACCCACTTACAATGCTTAATGATATATTAATTGATATARTTAGGACGATTTTTGTTGATTATATTTCATTTATTTATTTATTTCCGCCCAAAGATTATATGCCATTGTCAAACTTAAAAGAGCAATGACACTATTCAAAAAAAAAATAATTCAAAAAAAAAATTAAACTTATTTTTTTATTACGAATTGGTATAACTTTTTTAAAATTTTTGGATAATTTGTTTTGTGTTAGAGATATGATGCGGTTTCCCTATTTGTGGAGCAATACACACAGTATTGCATGCCGCTGTCGTATTCTAAAAATCACGTGTGTTAGGTATTTGCATATAGTTATTATTTAAGAAGTTGTGAATATAACCTGATAATCGGGTTCTAATATATTAGCTAAAAATATAATGTTGACGATTTCAATAACTGAAATATATAGTTCTCGAAAAAAAAARTTGTATCCCGTATAGTCTTATTTTTTTTTCAACGTCCTAATTTATTTATTTTCGGCGGTCGTCCCGTACTTTATTTTTGTTTGGACATATTCCGTCCGYAAAACGAATTTCATTAGGTCTAGGACAGGTATTTCGGGACAGAYGTCATGGAAATGCAGACTATATGAGATCGTCGTGCGATGGGTTGCGGAAATGCCACCATACCTCACACTCGCAATATAAATTCTCAGCTCGCAAAACTGACGTCGTCGTGTATATAATTTTCGTCTCTACGCAAGCAATAAGCTCTGCCGTGGACCTGCAGGTTACAGGTACGTGTGGTACACATTATACCTACATATTGTGGTACCCAAGCGCGGTACCGATTTCGGGATTCCAGTTGTCGGCTCGTCGTGCGGGTTCGTATGTGTTTCGCTGTTTTTCAATTTTGACAAAGTAAGACAGATCTATAGCGGCGGTAGTGACGGTGGTCGTGTTGTAGTAGTAGTAGTACCTGCCTCGTACACGATACAAATACGAATAATAGGCATGCACATATAGAACGTTGCCACCGCCAATGTATACGTCGTCAGTACAATATCCACAGTCTAGTTAATTTGTTAAAATGCGGTCGTCCCCGGTGAAATGTAAGCGTGGCGGAATTACACGCGTTCCCGGCGGACGCTAATTGATGGATGTTTGCCTCGTACTCAACTCGAGTTTTATGTTTCGCGCTCACACACGAACACCGACACACTCACACACACGCGTCCGACACCCACCCACACTGGCTGTCACCGCCGCGGACTTCCTCACCCCCTCGGCCGCCGTCTCGCGCCAAGACGGATGGGCAATCGATTTTCGACTGAAAAACTCGCGCCGCCGCTCGTCCAAAGTCCGCCACCACCACCACTACCCTCCCAACCGATAMTAACACCCCCACCACTGACACACCGATGTACACACGCTGCGGAAGTGTGCTCACACGCGTGACAGATGACGTGCGATGAAAGGTGGCCCGACAAAATTTATCTCTCCTCCATGCCCCGACTAATGTGAAAACTTTTTGAGCCTGACGTCTTCTACAATTTCAACCGTCGTTCCGTCGTTAATAATTACTGTCTGGACAGACATACGTGGTTATGCGTGGTTTTAACCGTACTGATCGCTGCACGTTACTCCGCTTAGAACTACCRATATACCTCGTAGGTACACCAGTTTAACTCGACCGTAACCATAATTTAGCTGATGGACTATCTGATCCCCATGGACGCACAGTTACACGTTACCTAAACAATATTATTATAAGTTATGACATAATCCTATAAAAGTATATTTTTTTGCTGACGGCGGCGATGCGATTTCTCGCTTGTAATTTGTTTATATATATATATATATAATTCCACTTTATGGTCATCTCGGCGACTGTACGCGATACGCTCGTTCCAAATTTATTATCGTACTTACGGTATAAGGATTTATATATTTTCCCGGGTAAACATAAAAATGTTTATTATCCATAAAAATTAATACACTTTTACCGTCAAAAGACGCACGTAATAGCACCAGAGACAATAATATTATAGTGAAATCGATATGCAAGTATTTAGACCGAAGTATCTGTTGGTATAATGACGTAACACGTAAGATGTTATTCCACCCATCACTACTTGAGCTACGAATATAAAACGTTGATAGATTTCAACTAGCCAGTTACACTGGTTTAGGTGTAGGGTTTACTACAACTCAGACACTAATAATACCTTGTGACAATATACAAGTTAATCATCGTGCGTTAAACTGCAAATCTATTTGGATATATCGACAGAATAATAATTGATTAGCACAGTAACTTGAGCAATCACGATCGGGAGGGGGGGGGGTCAAATTTGAAAATCAGAAAAAAATGGTGGTTAGTTCGATACAAAAATTAAATCTAATTATTTATATAGCATATAGGTACTATGCATCATTTCCTGTATTTTTCACTAATAAAATACTTTGAAAATTCGATGTATAATATGGACTCAAGCCAAACCACAGGAATTATAATATTATGTATGTATTTTATTGTAATATTTTTATCTGATACCAAAAAAAATCACGATGTAGCTAAATTGCCTATGTTAGACGCCGTGTCATAATTTCGTACTTGTATATCATGAAATATTGCAAAATGGAACAAACTACTAGAAAAAACACCGGAACAAGAAAACTCAAACGTCATGTCTAAAATGTGCACACAATAAATCAGTGTATAATATGGGTAATATTATTTGAATTCTGTTAAGATTGCTATCGAAACATCTAATTTGTTTAATGCATAATACTAAATAAAGTATTGTTAACGTTATAAATTTGAAATGTTAGAAAATAAATACTCAATTATAGGTATGAATAATATTATTTTAAAGTGCTTTTACACACATTGAACTCATTTAATTATACAGTTTTATTGAATTTTGTATTTTTTTCTGAATTGTATTCAATTTTTCCAGAAAATAATATATATAATTTCTTTGTTTCTATTTGTAAAACAAACATGCTCTTCCAGCTACTTATAATTAATTATTTTGAACAGATTTTTTTTTTTTTAATGTAGCTCGTGAAGTATCAGCAACTTGGAAAGCAATTTTTCTTCAGACTCTTGCAAAACATCAAGTGGTGTTATTCGACTTGAAGCTGTGCTAAAAGTTTGGTCACGTTTTTGTGACGTGTTTCTAAAATCTATAGTACATTTTGTTCTACTGTCTCGATGATAATTAAAGTACGTTTCTCACTCGTGAAAAACTAGGACGCGTTTGACTTCATGAAGTAAAATATAAAAATAATAAATGTTTACACATAAGTTTTTCAATAATACATCTCATATTCTTTGTCGTATATGACACTCACGGAAATCATAATTATTTATAACACAAAT